CCAAACCCCCCCTCAGTGTCCCCCCCCCCGGCCGAGATGAGGCCGAGCCCCCCCCCCGGAGCGGAGCTTGGGCCAGGTACGACCGGGGGGGGACACGGGGGGGACATGGGGGGGACATGGGGGGGCTTGGGGACACCGGGGGTGTCACCAGGGGGTGGGGACATGGGGGGGACATGAGTGGAGTGACAGAGGTTGGGGACACGGGGGGGTGACATGGAGGGGGCACAGGGGAAGGGGACACGGACTGGGGGGTCCAGGAATTCCCTGACGTGGGATTTCCCAGCAGCCACCGGGCCCCCCGAAAACACCGTCACAGGAGGGGACAGGTGAGGGGGGACACCCTGTCCTTTGTCACATCCCCTGGGACACCCCTGTCACTTGTCACCTCTGTCCAGTCCCTCCTGTCCATTGTCACCCTCCTGGTCTCTCCTGTCCCTTGTCACCTCCCCTGGGACCCTCCTGTCTATTGTCACCCCCTCCAGTCCCTCCTGTCTTTTGTCATCCCCTCCCTGGTGACATTTGGTGGCTTTGGGGGCTCCTGGAGCCCCCCTGACCCCCCCCCCATTATCCAGGAGGAAACCTGGGAATTCCCCCCGGGAGGAGAAGTTTGTTAAGAAGCTGCTCATTAAACGGTAACTGGGGGGGATGGGGACCCTCGGGACCCCCTTGTCACCTTTGTCCAGGGCCACCTGTCCCCCTTGTCCCATCCTTGTCACCCCCTTTGAGGGTCCCTGGCCCTTGGTCATGAGGGTCCCCCCATCTCGTCCCCTGGGCCAGGGGGTGGCGAGGACCCAGGACCCCCCTGGCCCTTGTCACCATGTCCCCAGCATCCCTCTGGAGTCCCCCTGTCCCCAACTCTCCCAGACCTTGTTCCCCTCTCCCCGGGGTCCCCCCCGTCCCTTGTCCTCCTGTCCCCGGGGTGCCCCTTGTCCCCCCGTGTCCCTTGTTCCCCCATCCCAAAAGCCCCAGATGCTTCCAGCCCCCCCCAGACTCCCAGGATTTGTCCCCTGGGGGTGTTCCTCTGGTGCTGACCCCCCTTTCCCCCCAGGAGGCGTCCCCGAGGGTGCCAGGGCCCCCCCCCACGCCCCCTCAAGGTGCCGCGGGTGTCGCTGGAGCGGCTGGAGCTGGGCCTGGCGCTGGACCCGGCCCTGCCCCTGCCCGCCTTCCGCGTCCTGCCGGGGCCCTCGGCCGGGCAGTTCAGCGTCATCGTCATCGAGCAGGGGGGGACAGCGCAGGGGACAGCCCAGGGGACAGCCCAGGG